CCATATCAAAAGAAAATAGGGATTGGTACAGTCCTTGTCTTTACTTGCGTTTTCGCTCCCCTGTGATTAGTTTTATATGCTTTTAGCTTTAATGTGGATCAGCTTTAAATTGAAGTTTAAATGTGAATTTTAACGTTTAATTTACATTCGTTAATGTGAATTTTAACGTTTAATTTACGTTCGTTAATGTGAATTTTAACGTTTAATTTATGTTCATTTCTACTCCCATAAAACGTTTACTGAACATCGTTAAAAGTAAGTAATAGTTATGGTTCTAGGAAGTGGGAGAAAAAAATAATAATTTCAATAAAGAATTATCACTAAATAATATTGTTTCCATCTTTTTCTTCCTTATCTTTAAATAAATATGGCATCCAGAATCTAATGGTCTACAAGTGATCTTTTTTTGTTTGTTCTCCTCCCTCTTGTTTTTGCACCAGATATGCAGTTTTTAATACTTTAGTACATAAAGACCTAATTTTATTATTATTTTTTTAAAGTATATATATAGTATAGGATCATATTTAGCATATTCATCGTAGTATAAGGATCATATTTAGCATACTCAGTCAGATTTTAACAAATACATATAGTGTTTCGAAATTCTTAAATGTATTAGAATGCTAATACATTGGGTCCAGATTCCTCTATATTAAATTGTACTATTCTGATAAATATTTTAAAGCAGTATCTCTGAAAATGCTGTTAAGGATAATAGCACACAAAAAAGGAGCAATCAAAGCAAGTTTTTTAAAAGTAAAAATGTTTAAAGCTGTTCCTTTATAATTGAAAATGATAGGAGCAGTTTAGCTAATGTGTTATGCATCACCACCCGTTAAAAATGTAGCATTTAAGTTTTCAGCTTTTTTTTTTAAAAAAAGTAGAAGGAAAAAAAAGAATACACAGCACAATAGCAATGAATACTTATACCCTAAGAAGTGATATCAACTTGTAAAATTAGACCAATTTTTCTCGTTTACTACTACAAAAAATAGGGTTTCTTATAGGTTTCTTATTTCTGAAATCAAGAAGTTTTTAAAAATAGGAAGAAAAAAAAAGAGAAAAACTTCATTAATTTTTCTGTACTGATTTAATAGATTGAATATTTAATTTATTCAGAAATTTTTTTGAAATTTAAAATAAATATTTTTAATAATTATTTAAGTATCATCCATGACAACAGAACAAATACACAGTATTATTATAATATTTTTTTTCTTGTCGAAGGAACTGCTTGAGAGAACCTCTTTATGAATTTTTAAGTTTTATTGATATATAATACATTTAAAAAGCACTTAAATTAATTTTGAGCTCTTTTTTTTTTTTAGAAAATATTTGATAATAAGCATAATATCATATTACTGTACTTTACCTTATGTATATTTTAGAAAAGGTATCAGGAAAAAAAATTGCAATTGTAAATATCTAATACATAGCTTATAATTAAAATTTTGAATTCATCGAATTAAATGTAATTTTAAAGATTTACAAAATTTTATTTATTTATTCATTTTTTTAAAGAAAGGGAGATTGAAATTTATACATTATCAGATAATCTAAAATTTTTCGCATCTAAGCATTTATCAGCTTCTACAACCTTCAGAAAGCATGAAATTTTAATTGTAAATAAGTCAATACTTTTAAAGAAATATTTTAGGATTAATATAAATTGCTTTACATAAATTCAATAATTCTTTACTTTTTCCTGTGTTAGTTTTAGCAAAATAACTTAGATGGCAGCACTACAGCTTTTACGATTTTAATGTCTTTCCAGGTTCTTTCTTCTGAAAAAACTTAATTTAAGAAAAGAGGGGTACAAAATTGCTTAGTTAAATGTCAAATGTTTATAACAAATTTGAGATAAATTTGATGAGTTTATATGCAAAAAATAAAATTTTTGAAGAGGAATTCATGATAAAAAATCTGTAGTATTAGAAGCTATTTTTCATATTCCATTAATTTAAAATTATAGTGCTGCCATCTACATAGCGATTTTAAAAATATATTTCTCCAGCAGGAACGTAAATAATTTTAATGCAGTTCATTAGTTCGAAAGAAAATACAATAATAAGCAACTAATTACGTCTGAAATGCAATAGAATTATAAATCTTAAAACTGCGTCAGATAAAAGCACAGTTATAAAATCTATACGTTAGTTATAAGACATGTAAGTAATTTGAAGTAATTAAAATATCTAAAGCATTTATTTAACATGGGTATAATATTTCTCTAGTTAATGAAGATTTGAAGGAACATGTATAAGTTATGAATGCTTCAAAATTCAGTTTTTTTCATAGTTTAACATTAGGTGTTGTAATAACTTAAACTGCAAACTATTTTGACTATTTGATAATTTGGTACTCTGAAAACTACCTGAAATGCATGTTTTTTTAATTTATTATTTAAATTTTTTTTTTATCAATGTATAAGTTATGAATGTTTCAAAATTCAGTTTTTTTATAGTTTAACATTAGGTGTTGTAAAACTTAAACTGCAAACTATTTTGAATATTTGATAATTTGGTACTCTGAAAACTATCTGAAATGCATGTTTTTTCATTTATTATTTAAATTTTTTTTTATCAATGTATGAGTTATGAATGTTTCAAAATTCAGTTTTTTTATAGTTTAACATTAGGTGTTGTAATAACTTAAACTGCAAACTATTTTGACTATTTGATAAATTAGTACTCTCAAAACTATCTGAAATGCATGTTTTTTTTATTTATTATTTAAATGTTTTTTTTTTTATTATCAATGAATAAGTTATGAATGCTTCAAAATTCAGATTTTTTCATAGTTTAACATTAGGCGTTGTAGAAACTTAAACTGCAAACTGTTTTGAATATTTGATAATTTGGTACTCTGAAAACTATCTGAAATGTATGTTTTTTCATTTATTATTTGAATTTTCTTTTTTTTATCAATGTATAAGTTATGAATGTTTCAAAATTCAGTTATTTTCATAGTTTAACATTAGGTGTTGTTATAACTTAAACTGCAAACTATTTTGACTATTTGATAAATTAATACTCTCAAAACTATCTGAAATGCTTTTTTTTTGTATTTATTATTTAAATGTGTTTTTTTTTTATTATCAATGAATAAGTTATGGATGCTTCAAAATTCAGATTTTTTCATAGTTTAACATTAGGCGTTGTAAAACTTAAACTGCAAACTATTTTGAATATTTGATAATTTGGTACTCTGAAAAGTATCTGAAATGCATGTTTTTTCATCTCACGGTTAGCCTGACGGCAAGGGGACTCTAACCCATGATCGGTCCACTACTGAGGATATTTAGCATTGGATGCTGGTACGAGGTTCCAATCGACTAGCCATCGCTGGGATTCGAACTTGGGTCATCCCATTTGAAGACGAGTTCTCTTTTCTCGCAGCCAACCAGATTAGTTATTTGATAAGATATTTAATTTTTTTCTAAGCAAAATTACGCTTAAAATTATTTGTGGGATTAATTTCGCTAAAATTTCTCACCTGAAAATATGTACACGGCTGCTTGAAAATAAATTTATCAATAGAAAATTTCTCACTTTTTTTCTTCTAAACTCTCAGCGTATAAGTTTTGTTTCTAAATTAAATTCTTTAACCGTTCGCTTCCATTCAATGTTATTTTACTAGCTGGTAATGTTAAACACGCGACTTTTTAAACGCCTATTTTTTATATATATAAAGTGAATTTAGAAAATAAAGAGTTATAGTATTCTTCCATTATAGTTTCTATCATAGCTTTCCATCTCACTCTATTTGTGGCCAGATATATTGCCTCTCTCCATGCCTTTCCTAATGTTTTCAATTAGTTTTTTTATTAAAATATATTAAGAATGAAAAAAATAAAATAGCGAAAGTTTTTGTTATGTCATCTAGTCTAAAGAACGCTATCGATTTTAATCGAATTATATTTTTGAAAAATTAGGAAGTTATTTTTAAAATTATATTGCTTTAAGGCAGTTCACGTATAGCAGACCATATAGCAGATATTTTCGCTTCATGAGATGTTCACTGTTAACTTAAAAAGAATTCAGTCCATTCGTATCAATATATATATATANTATATATATATATATATATATATATATATATATATATATATATATATATATATATATATACAGAGGAGGGCATCGAAGTTCAAGCGCACTTTATTTAAAATATTGACATTCCGCTTGTAGCTAAATGTTTTTTGGCGTAACGGTTTAGATCGTTTGAAAGAAGACATTTTGTTCTATCGAAATCTATGTTTTTTTTTTGTTGGTTAATTTATGTTAATATTTCTTTTCCAAATGGCAGGCACTGATTTTTATACTTCGCCTTAGAAAATGCCGGAATTATTACTCATTTTACGCTACTCAGTGGGCACCTGTGAACCAAAGTTACGGAGGTGAGCAACATTACCCACGACACACTGCCACAAACCCGTTCCACATCCCACCCAGGCCACATTCACACATTACACATAACAGAGGACAACACAAGAGAGAAACATCCATGCCCAGAGCGGGATTCGAACCGCAGCCACTGGCTTTGCAGTCAGGCGGGCGTCACTTGGCCGGCATTTATGTTAATATACATATCATAAAAATGAAATGTTAATTTGAAAAAATACGAATGCCTCCTTTTGCTATTAATCACAGTTCTGAGGTTTCAAAAGCCGCTCGTGATATCTTTGCTGTGTATAGAGAAAGTTCCATAGCTTGAAAAATTCTTTGTGATGTGTGTTACAAAATAAAAATGGCAGATTTGACCTGAAAGACCACCTCGTTCTGGTCAATTAATTGTAGAGCGATAAAGCCAATTGTTGCATTAACTCATGTCAAACGAGAAGAAAATTAACAGCAGAGAATTTCCTACACTTTAGTTTTTTTTATAAAATTCAAAAATAATTGCTGAAATTTAGCTGTTAACACAACATATAATCAAATTATTTAATTCCTCATTTAAAGAGAGAAGCAAATAAAAAATAAGTAAATTGCAATTCAGTTCAAACACGCACTTTATTTACATATCACATTGGACATTTCACAGTACTGTCAATGCAAAATAAATACAACTATGTGTATCATAGATTGCAGAACACAAAGCATAAACACAAATAATATAAATATGATTTTTTTTTCGAGAGATGATTTTATAAAATGAACCAATTCCAGATGCATGAGTGAGAATGATCTATGAAATGCATATTGGCAGTTGATTCAATGAAAGGTATCATTTAAAATTGTCCTTTATGTACAAAATCGTCTTTTAATCAGTTCTGTTGACCATGCAAAATCCTGTAATAGAAATTAAAGAAAAGCATATCAAAATAACAAGGTATTTCTTTACTAGTTTGCAATTTCATAACGTTAAAATGACACATAACCGTTGATAAAAGGGGCAGGCGATTCTGATGTTTAATAAAGAATGTTGCGAATATTTTATATATTTTTTTTCTTGGTTTTAGCTTATAAGAATTTTTAAAAACTAGAAAAAAGAAGAAAAAAAGTTATAAAATATGCTTGACGTCTTATAAAGTGTGTAGTATTGTAAATAGAAACTATATTGTACATTTATTAAGAAGTTGCATAAAATTGTCGAGCATATAATACACAAAAAAGTTCTTTTTTATTATGTTTCATGGCATACAGTAAAAATTTTTACAGATAAAATGTTTTTTGAGATTTTTTTGAATTCATTACATAATATTTTTTAATTATTGATTTTTTTTGTATGACAATAATATTAACATTAAAACACGTTCACTAATGGTGTCTTTTAAATAAACAGACATGTTGGTTACTGATATTGGTTACACACATATTTTTGCTAAAAAATAAAATTTTGAAATGTATGTTAATTTTCTACTAACTTCTTGTAAATTAAGAATACTTAAAACTAATTCAATCTTAACTCTTTAAATTCAGTATTTAAATTATCTAACTTTTAACACTAAAAAAAAAAATGGATAAATTGCATTTTCAGTAACATTTCTCAACTGCAAATGATTTGAATCATCAAATATTACCGTAAATCAACAATGATTTTACTTAAAATCAAATAAAATTTCCATTTTTTTTTTAATGTAACTTTATATTCTATTAATGATACAAGCTAAAACAAATTTCATAAGGGAGGCATTCTTTGACGATGTTTTCATAGATAAACCATAGACAGCCAATCTGTTTTCATAGATAAAAGTTTACCAATGCGTCTCTCTTTTCTTGAAAAAAATTTATTGATTGTGCAACAGCATAAATCTTATCTAATACTTTTATTATCTTTCGCAAATGGCAAGTTCCTCAAATTATATTTATTTATATATATTATTAATTCTTGTTTGTTTTCATAAAATTTGTTGTTGTTGTTGACGTAGGCCATTGAGGCAATTGGGTTGCGATTGTTCTTGTTTTGCAGTGGCGCCATCTATTGCCAAACTTTTGACTTCTGCCACACCCATACGTCACACCCGTTTATAGAACCCATTCATACATCCATTCATTCATTCATTCATTCATCCACAGATTGTAATTTTGACATGAACTCGATCCATCTCCAATCCAGTACTTCCAGAGGTATAATTTGTTATGGGAACACGAAGGACTTTATGACCCAAAAGATTTAACGTGCACCAGTCACCATTTGCTACACGGGGAGTATTTGGTCGGCTGGATTCAAACTCCCGTTCTTACGAGCTGAAGTCCAGCTACCTACCAACCAAGCTCTCCCGGTCCCCAACATTTTTTGTACAAAAGTTGAAACAAGCTGTATGTTCTTTAATTTGTCACTTCAAAATTGAGTTAAAGTGTTCTAATAGGACAAGAATCGTATAGTAACAATGAGTGTTTTAGAATTTAACCAAATATTCAAAGTTATATTTAATACTTGTATTACTTTAAAAACAAATCAATTTATTTCAAAAGTTTTCTTAATTTCCAACTCTCCATTTTAAAACTGAGTATATAAAGATGGTTGTTTTTTCAACAGGAAAAGAAATGGAATTATTAGGAATCACGTCAGTTTTTCTTCAGACACTATCGTTTTCAAAACTGTTGAAATATAAAATTTGGAAGAACTTGGTTTAGAACTTAAATTCTAGGTTTTATAAGAAATAGCAAAAAAAAAACCCCTTTTAATAATTTAAGGTATAATTTATTTAAATTAATCACAGTCCTAAATGCTTTTTTTAACAGGTTTTATTTTAACACATGAATTATATTTCAAATGTCAAATTATTATATTCTCTATTATAATATTTATAATGTACATTTTATATATATGAGCTAATTATTTACCTTTTAAAGCTTAACTCAGAATTTCCATTCTAAAATTATGGTAAAATAACCGGCAGCAGTCTGCCCTTCCAATTAACCGTAAGGTTTACAGTAAAGAACATTTTTCATACCTACCGTTTTAAAACTGTTCACAATTAGCATGGTTAAGAAACCATATTTATAAAACTATACGGTTTTTTAACCATTAACAACTAGCATGGTTTCAAGACCGTAAACAAAGAGATTTAACTAGACATTGGAGCTAAGTTGTGGTTGAGTTGCGTTTTGTCAAATGAACCGTGGAATGGCTGTTTCACCTATGGTAAGAGATGGGAAATATTAGATTTTTTTTGTTTTAAGAAGTTTTATGGTGCTGCTATCTATGCGTGAAACAGAGTATCGTATTTTAATAGTTTAGTTAGGGTCAGAAATTGGTAAATGCAGGACACTAGAAACTACTCTTCACGTGTTGAAGGGATTGGACTAAATATTGTGGTGTCAACGCTGGGGGTAAAACCACCGTTCTGTCGGTCATGAGATTGATGGATTAGCCCTCTTGGCTATAATTTGTACACAACTACAAGGAACTAAGTGGCTTTATTGGGTGGTCCTAGTTGGTGCTATAAAATTCTGGTTGTATTGGGTGAAAGCTGTTAAAACCACAATTGAATAAATTGTTATTTAAACATTTTTCAGAGAAATTTCTAAGAGTGCATAAGCTTTAGTGAAACACAGTCAACGATGCGCTACCAATTTTTAAAAAAAATATTTATACAAAATACATACTCTTTTGTTTTATTCAGGAAACCTTAATGATAATCTCCCAAATGGCCGTGGTATGATGTTGATTGCATATGGACACTGGCAGGATCTTGGTTAGCGGTTCCTGGTTCGTTGGTTCTCACTTTGGCTCTGAAACCATGTTCGTCGGCTACGTAGTCTACAAGACGATGAATTCCGTGAGCGTCGGTGTATCCGTAGCTACCAATGACTTTTTTGCCGTCACTGTGTTCTTTTCTGTACTGTTGATTGCCGTGGTGGTCCTTAATCTCATAACCGAATCCATATGGATGTGGTGGGTGCTAAAGAGAATTGAAGTGATTAAAAAAAGGAAGCTAAAAAAAATAAAATGATTAAAGAAAGATGCTAAAAAGAATTAGAGTGGTTAAGAAAAAGGATTCTAAAAAGAATTGGAGTGGTTAAAAAAGGAAACTAAAAAGAAATAAAATGGTTAAAAAAAGATGATAAAAAGAATTAGAATAGTTTAAAAAGGATTCTAAAAAGAAGTGAAGAGATTACAAAAAGGAGGCTTAAAAGAAATAAAATGATTAAAGAAAAATGCTAAAAAGAATTAGAGTGGTTAAAAAAAAAGGATTCTAAAAAGAATTGGAGTGGTTGAAAAAGGAAACTAAAAATAAGTAAAATGGTTCAAAGAAGATGCTAAAAAGAATTAGAATGGTTAAAAAAAGGATTCTAAAAAGAATTGGAGTGGTTAAAAAAGGAGGTTAAAAAGAAATAAAATGGTTAAAAATTATGCTAAAAATAATTAGAATGGTTAAAAAGAGGATTCTAAAAAGAAGTGAAGTGATTTAAAAGGAGGCTAAAATGAATCAGGGTTTTTAAAAAGGACTAGAGGGTAAAAAAATAGAGGCTTAAAACAAAAGGTGTGGTAATAATTAGTGCCAAGAGAAGGAAAAAAATTGAAAAGTCGCTAAAAAGACTAAGAGTGCTAAATGGAATAAAAGGTTTCAAAATGTGCTTCAAGAATATAAAGCTCCGAAAGGAATAAAAATGTTAAAGAAATGGTTCTAAAAAGAATAAGAGTACTGTAAAAAACGGAAGTGATAAAAGAAAGAATGATAAATTTATTTTAACTGGAGCAAAGCTTATTTTTTTAAAAATTATTTTACCATCTGTGACATTCGTTGGAAAATGTGCCAATGTAATAATATTTAGTGCATGTTTAAGGAATGAAGAAAGATTCCAAATATTTCTGTTTGTTTGAAGTAAAACTGTTAAAATTTTTAAACTTACAATGCAAAAATTTTATACAACTGAAATGAAATTGAGTTTGAAAAGAAAGAAATTGCATTTCATTTTCAAAATTGCTGTCGCCTCCAAAATTTTCAAAAATACTTTTTTTAGATTGGTAAATAAAAGTAATGTTTCGAGTTGAATAATTCGAAAATAAAATATAATTTTTCTCGATCAAAAGCTAAAGACATACAGATTAATAAGCTTTATTCTAAATCAATGAGAATTTAAAAATTTTCTTTTTAATATAATATTTTTTTTAAAGTAATAAATCTTTTTTTTAAGACCGGCAGCACCGATTTTTAACTCATGTTCTTACATTTTTTTTGTCATAATAGCTAATACAATTTTCGTTAATAAAAACATCATTCGCAATTTGATGCTGACAGTTTCCTCAGATATTTTTGGAAGTTTTCTTTGAAGGGTTTTAAAATATGATTTAAACACTGATTTAAACTGCATTCAACAAAATGTATAGAAATTTCTATTTCGGTATTGAACTTTTTTGAAATGTTCTTCATTTCAAAATTACATTTTCGAGTTTTAAAATTTTTCCTTAGTAAATAGCGTTAAAAAAAAGATTTACATTTCTTTGTATATCCCTTGCTTTGCATTGACTTACATTAACATCAATAATGAAAGTTTCATTTCAGAGAATATTGAAATATATCAAGATACATTAATTTTTTTAAACAATCATTAATTAATGAGTTAAAATATAAGTTAAGATTACATTAATAGTAAGATTAGATTATTTAATTGATATGCAGTGTGTTTAAAAATAAAAATTGTCAAATATTTCGAGAAATAAACATCAGTTCATAAATCTAAAAAACACGAAAGAAATATTTTCAAAAGACGCATTTAATCTTACCAAACTTACCCCCTAACTTGACCTCTTGGGAAATAGAGTAACTTAACATCATTATAGGATAATTTTAATTTACACAATATTGAACATGGATTTGGATTCTTCAGAAAAAAATAACCCGATTTGGTCTCACTTTTTGAATTTTGGTTCACAGATGGCACTGCAATCTTGAAATGAAAATGAGAGTCATAAGAGGTGATGATGGGGTGTTATGAAATGCATTATATGAAATTATTTCTAAACTTTTAATTAGATGAGTATTGCTCGAGTTATATGGTCGTTTTGACACTTTACGAACATTCTGCATAATTTCATACTTTAATGTTTGCTACTTACTTTTGGCTCATATCCATAGGCATTTATGGATTCATAACCTGGATATTCTGCTGAAACACTGATCACAAGTAAGCTGAAAGCTACTGTAAGTACCTGAAAAGTCAAACCAAAATGTTTTTAACTGCTTTATGCCTGAAAATTAACACAGAAAATCTTGAATAATCACTTTTTTTCAATAAAAACTAGCTTTTGACTGTGTAAAGGAGTCTGAAAAGAAAGACCATGCTCATATTTTCATGAGAGTAATAAATGTTTTTTGGTAGCTCGCTCCATTTAAATATATATATATATATATATTACATGTATATNAAATACACATATAATAAATAAAACCTTAACAATACAAATGAAAATACACATAAAAAAACGAACAAATGTTTAGAATAGTATTTGCTGATTCTCTAAATTTAAAATTCAACCCTTTTCATCCCTAATTTCGAATGGCCCCAATTATGCCACTCTAATTCTAAGTTTCATTCAGTCGTTATTCGTTTACTCGTATTTTAAAAACCGTCTGCTCTATTGTCAACTAGAACAGACTTTTCGTTCTGTGAGACTAAACTTATCTCGACAGGGGAGAGAAAGAAGAGAATTCTTTTTATAGCTGCCAACATTTTTCGCGCTGAATCACCGGTCGCCTGCTTTGTCACTCAACTCAACTCTTTTACACTCGCACCCCACTTCCCCCTAAAGTTTCACCTAAGTGGCGGAAACAAACGCTAAAAACAGATTAGAGCGTTTCACAGTGATTAAAAAAAACATGTCCGCGGAATGAAAACATTTATCCAATGTGTTGATAAAACACTCAGGCGATATTTTTTTTCTCCCACTCAATTCCGCAGTTTTACAGAAATAGAGATAACTTGTAGTTAGATGTTTAGACAGTACGATGACAGATAAACCTCAATTTCTATTTGGGAAAAAATTCTAAAAAGAAGGTTTTTAAAAAAAATGCTTTATGAAGTTTAAAAAAAGAATGTTCTATTAAATAGAGAAACAGTTATGAAAATATCGTTTGCTTTTTTTCATTGTTATATATATATATATATATATATATAATATTGTTGTAGAGGAGTATATTGTTGTAACGAAAGGCAATGAAGTTATCATACAGGGTGGTTCAAAAATATTCATCAAAAATGTAAAGGCAGGTAAAGGGGACCTAATAAACCATATTTCATAAAGGAATGTTTACGTAGAAATGCAGCCTTAAGCCGATAGACGGCGCTACTGCTTACTAATGCTATTTACCCAACTTTGTTAAGGTTGCTTATTTTTGAGTAGCTATTGTAAACTTTAAATGACTGTAATTTGATTGTAAACTGCTTGACTGCTTTTAATAGTTAAGAACTCTGTAAAAATTACTTTTAATTGGATAGTCATTAGTTTTCCAAAAAATCCAAACTTGATAATGTCATATTTCTGATCAGAAATCATTGCATAAATCATATTTGCAATTAAAAATAAACTGCATCTATTTAAGAAAGTTCTTCATGACATATTTGTATGTAGTTAATTAATGTTAACTTTATTTTTCTTAATCAAAGCGGAATGAATTTGCGTGGAGATTTAAATTTTGATATATATAAAGAAAGGAAAATAACAATTCACAATTAATTCCGATCGAAGCTAAAATATTCACATTTTAGGTCAGTGAAATGAGTTTATTTTTAATTAGGGAGCAAATTTAATCAGATGTAAATGCGTAGATGAATAACGGTATCTAATTTGTATTCATCTCTTGAATATTATTATTTCAAATGAGTTTTTATTATACTACGTTCTCTTATCATTATTCAATTTCAAAAGAGCTGCCGAGTTTCTAATTTGGCTTCAAAACAATTATTAAAGTGCTATAAGTGCAATTTTAATACTACTTTCATTTAGTGTTCTGCTATGATAAAGATAAAAATACATTTCGTGTGTTTTTCAAACTCTATTTATATAAAGGTTTTCTCAACTAATTTTATTTTTTTTTTCCTCCAGATTATTCTTAAAAGAATTAAGTTGTCCTTGAACTAAATATTGCAACTGTCTTTTTAAGGATTTTAATGTTTTTCATTTCTTAAGTAAAAATATTAAGATAATTCATTCCGTATACAATGCGAATATTTTTGTTAATTGACAAATTTTTTTCAATTGTGTTCAACGAATTCCGTCCAAAAAATCGAACTAAATATTCAAATTTAAAATAAAAAAATTTCAAGAACCGTCTTTTGCTACTATTTGCTGCTTTGTACATATTGAATAAATTGTATTTCAAATAAGAAATTGAAACGTTCTTTATAAAAAATGCATATTTAACACAGTGAAAATATTATTTTGATTTAAAATTGAATTTTATTAATTCTGATGTATTAATATTTTTAAAAACAATGCGTTTTGGAGTAAAGTAATTAAAATTGCTACTGTAAAAATGCTTTATTCACTAACTTTCTTAAAAAAATAAATAATAAAATAAACAATGAAACAATTAATTACCACGCTGTTTGGTAGTAAATGTGGTGAAATTTGTTAGTTATATAATGATACCTTATACAGTAAAGTGCAGAACTGCAATTTTAAAAAATTACATAAAAAATTATATAAAATTGATAAACTAAGAATTGCGTGAAACTGTTAAAGCAAACATATTGCGGAAAATTTATGTCTTTTTTAATAGATTTTCTTTTCAATGAAGACATTAAATTGTTTGTAATGCGCTTGAAATTATGTGCTGTTAGTCAAAAAATTGAATAAATAAATAAATAAAACTGAAAAATTAAATAAAAAACGTGACTACATGCACTGTAAAAGCCGTGATGGCTCAGGGAATAGAGCGTGCCCAGAATGAATCCCAGCAATGGCTGGTTGATACGAATTCTGCATCTGGCTTGCACCGACCGCAGTGCTGACGTAAAATATCCACAGTGGTAGACGGATCATGGGTTAGAGTCAGGGTTTGAAAAAACCCGGGGATTTTTGAAAAAACCCAACCCGCCTGGGTTTTATTGAAAAAACCCGGGGAAAATTGGGTTTTATTTGAAAAAACCCGGGGAAAATTGGGTTTTATTTGAAAAAACCCGGGGAAAATTGGGTTTTTTCATTTAGTGCTCATAAATTTTACTGTGAAAATATTTTTATTTATTAAATAGTGTTGTATAAGTAAGCACTAAAATTTCATCTGACTTTTACTCTTATAAAAATTTTTTTCTTTTTTTTTAAAGCCAGAAAATAAAACTGTTTAAATTTGTTAATGTATCACTTGGTAAAAAGAGAAAAAAAATTGTTTCTTTTCAATTTTTTTAAACATATGAATTAATAATAATAACTTGCTTATTAATATAAAAAGCACGCAACTATATTCGAAAAATTGATCTTTTCAGACTATATTATTTAAATTATTATTTGATTTAATACCATTAAAATATTACTTTTTGAAAAAACCCACTTAAAGTTTTCAATAGTACCTACTATAAAATTATATGAAGATTCGAGCTTCTTTTACTTTACTAATATTAAAAACTTAATCACATAAATCAAGCAACTCTATTTGACAAATTTATGCTGCACAATAAATTATATAAAAGTAAATGCAAAACAATAAGTTTTAGTAAAAAAATAAATAAAAAATGTGAAAAAACCCACTTATCGTTCTGAGAGGGTTTTTTCAAGGTGGGCCCACCCGATAAAACCCGGGCGGGTTTTTTCAAAGTGGGCCCACTTGGCGAACCCTGGTTAGAGTCCCCTTGCCGTCAGGCTAACTGTGGGAAGTTTTCCTCTCCATGTAATGCAAATGAGGATTAGTTCCATTAAAGGAGTCCTCCACGAAGGCATATTTCTCCCAATGCTTGATCCAAGAGTTCCTTTATCAAAATTTCAAGGCTATAGAGTTGAACATTAGTAGTCGTAAACCAAAAATTGGGTCGGCTGTTCAACGACAGTTATAAATCTTCTATATGCACTGTAAAATTTTTTAGTTACACCTCAACTCCGAAAATGATGGCAGCTATACACCAAAATTTTTTACACTGTTGATAATGGCATAAAAATTATTTACTCTGCCAAATTTACTTTTCAGTCTTGTATTTTTACTAAGTGTGAGGCAATAAGAACTGCAGTTTTGAAAATCAACCGGAAAACATTCACTTTACGAACGGAAAAATTACTAAATGAATGGTTTTAATATCATATATTTTAGTTTTATCACTAGAATAATGTCTTTTATTTATTTATTTTTATTAGAAATGTCATTGCCATGCACTACGGAAATTTCACCAGAATATTCTTCTATATATTTCCGTGTAAATATTTAGGCTCAACAAGTACAGAGATGTCAAATTTCTAATAAAAAGTATAGCTTTCCTTCTGCTTTTTTTAAAAAAACTTATTACTTTCTTTTACGGGAGTACGGTAATTTAAGAATAATTTTTTTCTTCGTTTAACTCTATTTCTTATACACAAATATCTAACGATTTCATTGAGAAGTTTTTTATTTATTTAGTTTTAAATTCATGTAATTCTTAAATAAAAGTCGGTATTTTAACTAGTTCGCGATCGGAGAAAAGCGAAGGAAACATTTCCCCTGACTCACACGCTCCGAGAGTATACGTACTAAAGAGTATACTAATACGAGTTGTAATACGAGAGAGCCGAATTCAGAATACGCCCGTGTGATCATGGGCTGCTTGAGTTAGAAAAAATTGTTTCATAAATGATATTTTGGGTCTTGTAGGGAGAATCGCGTGATCACGTATATATGATTACGGTCTTGAAAGTTAAAATTAATCCTTTTACTTCTGTAGTTATTCGCATAGATAATTGAAAATATTTTCGTTTTGTTTTCGGTCATCGGAAAATCAGTATATAACCCGTTCAGGATCGGAGAAAAGCGAAAGAAGCATTTACACAGACTCACACGCTCTGAGAGTATACGTACAAAAGAGTATACTAATACGAGTTGTAATACGAGAGCGGCGAATTCAGAATACGCCCGTGTGATCATGGGCTGCTTGAGTTACAAAAATTTGTTTCATAAATGATATTTTGGATCTTGTAGGGAGAATCGCATGATCACATGTATATGATTACGGGCTTTGAAAGGTTAAATTAAT